TTCACTTATTGGTATTATACTACACGTCTTTACTGGGATGTAGAATTGTATGAATTGTAACTGCATGCAAATATCATTCACGTAGTTTCTTCTGTACAGTTAGCTGTGCAATTTAAGCCAAGCTTGTGTTGATCCTAGTTCTTTCAGAGTTCAGTAAACCCGAGCCCTGTCTTCTCACAAGAAACTGACTTCCTATTTTTTCTGCTTCATGCAAGCATCATATTAACTATTTCAAGAAAGGAGAATTGTGAAATCGGATATTTAGCCAGAGAGATCTGTCTTTACGCTAGTTTCATATTCAGCTTTCCTGATTTGCTTCATTTTGGCAAACCGGTATTTTGAATTATTTTGGTGATTGATTATGAAGAATTTTCTGTCAAACAACATGTATCAATGAGGCTTTCATGCATCTTGAATCTTTCCGGTTTTCCTTCTTGAACATGGCTTCTGTCAGATATCAGGCTGTTCTCTTTATCGTATCCTTCTGTTAACTTGAGTATTTTCTCTTTCAGTCGACATGATGAAAGAAGGTGCTACTGTAATTCTGCGCAATGCAAAAATAGATATGTTCAAGGGATCAATGAGGCTTGCAGTGGACAGGTGGGGACGTATTGAAGTTACCGAACCTGCTAGTTTCTCTGTCAAGGAAGACAGTAATCTGTCCCTTATCGAGTTTGAACAAGTGACTGTTGTTGAACAGTAACTCAAGGCAGCCCATCGCAATGATAATGTCCCGTTTGCAGAGAGTATAAGTAAGTTTGGTTCTTTAGGGATATGCTAATGTGGCTTCATTAGTTGAGTAAAAACTACTGGTTTTGTTAAGTCAGAAAGTCCTTTTTTTTTTGTAGTGGAAAGTGACTGGTCTAATGTTTTTGTAGATAGCAAGGTATGTAGCTGCAATAAAAAGTAGTGTACAACTTGCTTGTTTATTTATTTGGAAGGATTGTGTAGCCACCATAGAACTTACTTTATCTGGTGCTTATCATAACTTTTTTTTTTTTTAATAATCGAGAAATTTTCGATGGCCAGACGTTCTAGTACTAATATTTAACTCATCTTACGATTCATAAGAGTAAATATTCCAGTTTAGAGCAATAGTATGATGTGGCGTAAAGCTTGCTACTCTTTTTTTCCAATATGAAGAAGTAAATCGGAATGGGAGCAGGTTTGAAAAAGGATCTTGGAGTATTTAGTCGGGCCAGGAGGGTCTCTTAACGCCTTCTTGTTTCTTTTCATCGGAGTTATTTCACAAAGACTTGCCAGGGTAAGGAGATGAGGGGTGGGTGGGCAAGTACACTTGGAGAGTGCAGTACAATAGAGTTGTATACTGCTTTGGGAAGGATGAATCGCTCGCGAAAAGAAATATATTGATTCTCTCCCAATTGGTTGGACAATAGACGCGATGATTTGCTTCATGGTTGAGGTCTCTGGTTCAAGTCCGGAATGGCCCCAGCTGTTCCGGGAAGAATCTGACTACTTCATGCATACTCCACTTTGACGTTTGTTAGTCTAAAAACAAGAAAAGCATTACAAAATGCATATTGCCTCAAAGTCCAACTTATAAAAGGAAGACTTTCGATGCCATTTCTAGTCACCGTGGAGAAAACGTTGATAAAGAATATATATTAAATTATAAACAATGGTGTAGTTATATTAATTTAATGATGATCACTCGAAAAAAAGAAATAGTTTTTTAGAGATATATAGTAAAATTTTAAACACTCTCAATAAAATTTCAGATATCGTCATTGATTATAAAACATCTTTTAGAAAAAGAGAAAAAAAGCCAAGATTCTCAACTCTAGCTATATTATTTCTAGCTCATTTAATATCTACTAGACATCTAATTCATGATAAACGTAACTCTTTTATTTCAATATTCCATATAACACGTTTAAGATCAAACATTACAATGATTTTGATATATTATAAATGACAAACTAAGACAATTGATTAAAACAAGAAAAATATATAAAGTAATCTCCATTAAGACAACATGTAAAAAAGGAAAAAAGAAGGAAATACAGAAACCAATTAATAACATGGAGTAGGTATAGTGTGATTATATATGCAAATGAAGACTTTAACCCAATCCTCGTGATGTATTTAATTTTTTTCCTAACAACTATGAAATTATGTACGTGTCATGTTTATGTCCAAACAATTTATATTACTAGTAAATTTATTACTGTATGAAATTTCAACTTGTTTGAACATTTCTCCTATTCTTCTCTTATTAATATACAAATTTTAACTCATCATTCCTCATTTTTCTTTCTTCGAGTAATTGAGAATCAATTAAAATATATTCCATTCAATAAATTAAACTAGTTGATAATATATCAACTATACGAATCATCTATATTCATTTTGTTCTATTTAGATCCATTTGTATTGTACGTTGAGATGGGTGTTAAATGGGATGAAGAAAAATTGGAGGAAATTGAAGCGAATAAACCGGTGAGAATGAAGATCACCGAGCCAAAGACACCATATCATCATCCTAAAATTGATGATGATGATAATTTTGAGGAATATGGCAATCGTAGCGATGATGTGGATGATGACATGGCATCGTGCTCAAATAAAAATATATGTGATGATCCTCGTAAAAATGATGATGATGATAATGACGTCGTTATGAATCATGCTGATGTTGACGTTGATGCTGATGAAGATTCTGACGAATCGGAGAGGAAAAGGAATTTCATAGAGCATAGAAGAGGTCATTATGATGAATATAAGAGAATCAAAGAGCTACAAAGAAATGGATCTCTTCTTCAAGAATTTGATGATGATGATGATGATAATAATAATAATATTATTGATGATGGTGTTAAGGGCATAGAAATTGAGGAAGAAAAGGAAGATACTTCAAAATAGTCATCTTATTTTCATGAATATCGTTTTTTTTTCTTTTTGATTTAATCATTTGATATCTGAAGCTCACACTTAGATTTGCATTAGATAGGTCTACCTTTTGGTAGAATATGTTTTGCCTTGTTAGTTGACCTATGTTGCATCAATATGAAGTTCTTATATACTGATCTGACTAATTCAAACTCGTGACAAGTAGATTCATTAAAGAGGCAAAACACTTTATCGTGAAAGGTGTTCTTCATTCCGATCTCAAGATATGAATGTTATGTTGTCATGACACCATTGTTGGTGAAGTTTTTTTTTTTGTTTATATTTTTCTTACAAGTAATTGTATGACATATCTCCCTTTAGATGTCAATTGTTGTCATGACTTTTGCTAGAGAAATGAATTATTGATGTTATGAGATCACAATAGTAGAAAATGTACCAAGTTTTTTTGGCACTGTGAAAAAAGTAGTGTGAATTATATGGCAATTTTTATTGGTAGATAATACATGCAAAAAAATTAAAATTTCTCAATTTTAGTATATTTTGCAAGTAACTTTAGCAGTAATTTTGAAAAATAAGTTCACTTTGAGCTGGAATAATAATAAAATAATAATAAAAAGAAGACGAAAAAAAGGAACTTGCTGGAATTAATTGATTCAGAATTTCCTCTTTCTTCAATTGCTAAAGGAAGAGACCATATGGGCCACTTAAATTAGCTTACTGGACTTGGCCACTAGCATCACATCTACTCTTTCTTTCGTATGACACAAAATTGTTATGTTCGAAAAAATAATAATTTTACTATCATAGATGATAAATATTTTATTATTATTATAGCATTTTTATGAAATTTTTCCATATCTAAATTGATATAAATACAAAATGACCACGCAACACCTCAAATACAAGGGCGTGAGCACATCCAATATATTGTAACAAAGAGAAAACCTAACGTACCGAACAATAAAGGAAATATACCTTATTCTATAATGACATTGGGCTTCAAATAGTCATTACGGGCGTCAATACTCTTGAGAGGCTTCTCAAACTAGAGGGGTGATTAAAATGCACTACATTAAGTATACAATATCAATATAAATAATTTTATAGTATCAAATTATTTTTATTTGTTATAGTAAGTAACATATCTCAAAATTTAGATCTCACATTGTTTTTTTTTTAAAAAAATAAACTTGCTTGAAAATATCCTTTCAATGAATTGTTGGTGTGAAAAATTATTTACACTGCAACTATATAAAATTTAAACAAACCTACTAAAATTACACTGGTTAAAAGAAAGAGGAAATACTTGAACACATATAAATAACTCGATCACCCCACAATCGTCTTTGAAAAATATATTTATCACTTAATTTATCATGCTTGGTAAATGATGATACATATATAAGAGAGATAGATAGATAACTTAGTTTTCAACTATTAATATTAAATTGCTTAACTTGATGAAAACACATATAAATAAGGGAAAATTACGCGTATAAGCAAACATATACTAGTTAATTAGTTAACATAACTATAGTTTGCCTTAATTACAATTCACGACCTACTTTTAGTTATAATTACGTGGCTCAGCATTTTAGTTTTGTATAATTTGCACGTTTGTACAATTCGGAATTTGTATAATATAATTTGTATAACTTTTATATAATTCAAATTTGTATAATATAATTTGTATAACTGTTTACACTTCTGATGTTTGTAATTGTATAAATTCATTATTTCGAGTTTATGCAAAAATAACTGAATTATACAAATGTACCCATGAATTAAACAAACCTGCGAATTATACAAATCCACAAATTATACAAACGAGATAGCTTAAACTGTAGCTACAACCGTAAATATGCAAACTATAGCTATGAAGTATAATTAAGTTTATTATAGTGGCTATATTTGTGAAAGTTCCCCTATAAATAACTCGATCAGCCCACAATTGTCGTTGAAAAATATATTTATCACTTAATATATCATGCTTAGTAAATATATATACATTAATTTTTAAGTATTAATATTAATTAACTATATATCCTCCCTAAACGAAACAACAAATTTTAACTTAAATATACATATGATACACTTATGTAACATCTCTATAAGTTGTTACATACATATTATTCGTATACACTAGTAGGATGAACTTTGCTACTTTTTGATTTTTCCCTACCAGGCTCCTCAAAATTCTTACTATAAAAATAACAAGAAAATGAAAGGAGCACAACACTATTAATAACACAAATTGACAATGCAGTAGCCCAATTTTGATCTTGTTTAAACAAATAGCCCTTTTTGCATGCATAGCACTCGAAACAAAGCTTATTGGGATCACTACTCCATTGACGACAATCTTCAATAGTTTCTGTAGACTTGTTTTGATTTCCGGCGACCGGAAAACCGTCGTATGTATCCATCCAAGTAAAAGGGTCACGCGAATTTGTGCTCTCGTTTTTGGATGTATTGTTATCACTGTTGTTACATATCTTGGGATACTTGCAACAAGCGTCCTGAAATTTAAAAAAAATCGATTTAGAGATTTATTATGTTAAGTTGTTGATGATTGAATGACAAATAATATACATATGGAGGACAAAAGGAAGTGGAGAATCATAATGGTTGTGAATGAAATGGTGCACAACTATATTGTTTAGGTGCATGTTGCAATTAGAGGTGGCAAAATGAAGTGGAGTAATTTATTTATCAGCTCAATCCGTCCAAATTTTAATAAGCTGCATTTTGACTAGGTTATTAATTTGATTTAACAGGTCGAATTGAAATGAGTCAAGACAATATAACATAATAAGTCAAAATCCAACCTAAATCCAAGGATATAAAATTAAATTTTGAGATTTGATTTTTTTTTAATCAATTTGAAAGAATTTTGGTACTATGTTAATTTGAAGATTGAGAATTATGGTTAAAAAAAGAGAAGAGGAGGTTGAACCATAATAGATAGATTGAGTTATAACCCGTTCTTAGACTTTTGACACAACCCACGTTGGCTAAGCAAACTTTAAGAGAGTTAATTTATGACTCATCTATTAATTTATTAATCTATTTTAATCAATTCAAATTTAATACATCTTTTTTTTATTATGTATATCTTTTTTTCTTGTCCAAACGACCAAACCATTCCATATTCATAACTCACTTATCTGATTAGTTCAATTCATATTAAATACATCTATTGACGAATAAAAACACTTACAATCAAGAAATTTTCCATTCTACGATGAATATCATAATAGAAAAAAATCGTATATATATATACCTGAAGGGTACTAGAAGCATATGGAGAAAGTCTATCCAATCCATGTCCTAAATTTCTTTGACAAATTTGTTTCTTGACCATACAATTCTTGAAAGTTTCCCAATCATAATATGTATACATACGTGAATCTGTTCTTGATTGCCACCATGCCATTGTCCCCAAAAGAACTACTATAAATAATATAAAAACTTGTGACCTCATATAAACAAATTCTTGAAAACCAATTTTCCAACAACATATTGAACTTGCTAAACCTGCCAATGACCATGTTAATATCATAATTCCAGCAATTAAAAACATTGACATTGATGTTTCACGACAAAATTTGTTAACTGTTATGAGAGGGATAATTATTATAGGAATTGATATGATTATTCCAAATAAATTGAGGATGAGCATGATAATGTAACCATTTTTCCCAAAATCCATCTTGATAAAGAATAATATTAGGTTTACTATGCTTTTTCATTTTGGGGTATTTTTTATTTGATTTTACGTGGTTAAAGTCATTAGCAATTGTTTATTTTTAGAAATTGATAATAACTTCCTTTTCTTGTTTTTGGTCATTTGTGGTCTAGCACAAACATTAAGTTTTATTTACCACACATATATGGTTGGTTTAGTTATAAGTTCAACATTGTGAATGTTGAAGTCCGCACATGATATATATATATATATATATATATATATCAGACTGTATTAATTTGTCATCATTTTTACCTATATATAAATATTAGTAAATATTAATTTCAATATCTTACATAGTTATTTTAGCCATCAATTCATACTTCACTTAGACTTTGAGGTCACAACTTTACATTATACAAATCGTCAAAACCTAAAGTAAGCACCATATTCCTCTTAATTTCTCTTTGTGTTATACATGTATAGTTTTTTTTCATGGTTTTTATTATTATTTCTATTTTATGAGCTTTTGTAAAGTTACATTATTGTCTTGTCGTGTCAAATTTATTAGAGAAGTCATATATTTATTTGAAAAACTTTTTCTTATTGGTTAAACCGAAAACCGAACCGTTAAAGATCAAAACCAATAAACCAAAAGCCGATTTAGCGTATTTAAAAACCAAAAACTAATAAACCAAACCGATAATACATAAAACCGAACCAAACCGATCGATGTACACCCCTAATAATACCCCATTATAGTCTAAACAAGTTGTTATCCGCTTGAGGTTAATGAAGTTGTTAGATTGTGTTAATGGACGTATGAGGTGATATAAGATCCAATATACGTGATAGAGCCAGTTAAAAAAAATACTGAATTAATTACATGTGATTGGATAAGGGCATTGAATCTAATAAAATTACTCTCTCCGTTCAGTTTAACAATAGTTGTACATTACACTAAAAATAGTTGTTTAATAATATTTGTCCAATTTAGAAAATCAAGAGATAATTTACCTTTTGTGTCTATTTTACCCTTGCTACTAAATATTACTCTCTCCCTTCCTTTTTATATGTCACCTTTTTAGATTTCATTTGCATTAAGAAGCTAAGTAAGTTTATAATTTTACCCTTGTTTAATATTTTTTTAAAAACTTTTTAATAAATGATAAATAAGTCCATCTTTCATTTTTAATTTATTTGTTGAGATTTTATAGAGTAATGCAATGGTGAAAGTAATTAATCAATGTATGAAGTAATTACAATGAATATTAATTACTTATTAGTTTTTCTAGGTTGGTCAAATATCTATTTTCAAGACTAATTAATTATCAAGGGTATAATAAGAAAAATATTATAATTTATGCATTGATTTTATGAAATGACAAGTACTCCATGAACTAACTATTTATAGTAAGGATGACATATAAAAAGGAACAGAGAGAATATTTATCATCTAACACATTTTTTAAAGTATTAAATTTAACAAAGTCAAAGGATAATATAGTAATATTAAGAGTCCGGAGCCAAAAGGGCAACAAAATTTTTCGAAATTCCAAAAGGACAACAAAATTATTTATCAAACCAAAAGGGCAACAAATTTTAACACCGTGTAAATCAGGGTTTTCGCTGCAAGACACAGATACCCATGTGACCTGTAAGGCTTGGCATCTTTTAGCCTTACAAGGCGCAGGAACATTTGCGTTTTGCAGGCTGTTTTTTTTATAAAAAAAAAAAAAAAAAAAAAAACTCGTTTCCTGAATTGAATAAAAAATAATGTTTATACCTTTTTTATATAAAACTCGTCATCGTTTGTATAGATTCGATGCATAACAAGTATGTAAATAATGTACATAGATTATACACCACAAGGGCGGCTCAATAGTGTTAAAAAAAAGATATGTGTCTTAGTCCCCCAAATTTAAGGGGCCTCATTTTTAATAATAATAGGTTATAATTTTTTTTTAACAAATATTGAATACTATTTGTAGAAAAAGTAATCTTTTCATGAAAAATGAAGGAATTATTAGAAGAAATTTGACATATTTGGAGTACTATATCTCATGAAAAGTAATTTAAAATAAGAATGGTTATGTTATCGATTGAAAACTAGGAGAAATCAATTATATAAAAGTTATTAACAATTTAAGTTTAGGGCCCGTTTAATATTTTCTTTAGGCCACTAATATGCTTGAGCGGCCCTTTGTGAAAAATAATAATTAGAATTATATTTTGTTGTTGGTTTTATTTAAAATTAATAAAAAAATAAAAAAAAAAATTAATGATAAACTTATGTAGTAACATATATAATATGAAATAACAATTTGCTAGGTTAATTATATTATTAATTATCTTTTTGTCATTCTTAATCAAATCAATAAATCCATCGAAAGATGGTTGAACATATGATAATTTGTCATCCAGATCGCCAACGTGAAAGCCTAACATACTTCTCTTCTCAAACACTGTAAGTTTGTAACACTCGATTTATCACTATTTCGATTCAAAAGATAACAAAGATAATTCTAATGTAATTTTTCACTTTCCGCGAACGTAACACTTGTTAGAACTAGCTAATGTGGTACGTCCTCCGTCTCATTTTATATGTCACTTGCACTTGCATTAACTTTATCATTCTAACCTAATTTAATTTTTTTGGAACTCAAGTTTTCAATCAATGAATATGAATTAATTTATTTTGATTAATTAATTTAACCAATGAACATGAATCATTTACTTAGCTTTTCTAAGTTGGTCAAATGTATATTTTCAAGGCTAATAAATCACAAGAGTAAAAAAGGAAGAATATGATAATTTATACATTAATTTTATGAAATGACAAGTATTATAGATCAACTATTTATAAAAAAAGATGACATATAAAATGGGACGGAGGGAGTATATCTTAAGTTCTATTTATAGTACAAAAGTAAAATAGAACTTTATTATTGTTTATATCGATTTGCTTTAAATTCGGGCCGGTAGATTAAATAAATATTTAAACATTTCTTTTTAGAATTTTTTATATTCTCAAAAGTCTTGATAACCAAAAGGCTAGAAAACATCAATTTTTTTTATAACAAAAAACAGAAAAACGTAAATGTCCGTAAGCAATTACAGAAGCAATTGAATTTGTGGTGTATACTTAGTTTAATTGTAAGCCTCCCAAAAGAAAAGAGAAGTACTTACTCAATTCAGAAAATAATTTTGCAATTGAATTTGTGGTGTATACTTAGTTTAATTGTAAGCCCCCCAAAAGAAAAGAGAAGTACTTACTCAATTCAGAAAATAATTTTTTTTTTAAAACAACCTGCACCTGGTAAGGCTAAAAGCTGCCATAGCCTTACAGGTTGCATAGATATCCGCGCCTTGCGGCGGAAACGATTTAAACAATATTAAAATTTGTTGCCCTTTTGGAATTTTTGAAAAAAATTGTTGCCCTTTTGGCTCCGAACTCGTAATATTAACCCTATTATTTATTATTTTTTAAGGAGTGTAGTGCCAAATTAATAATGAACAACTATTATTGGACAGAGGAAATAATAAATACAAATAATTAATAGCCTAAAATTTTAATTATCTGAATTTAAGGAATCTCATAATCTAATTTTGAAAATTGAAGCAACTTTTTCTAAAGTAACTTCCCATTCATCATCGTTTGCATAAAGCTAACAATATGATGGATCACTCGAACTATTTTTTCTATAATTAAAATTTGGACCTTTTACATGAAATCATAAATATGTTTAATTCATTACGACTTAGGATTGTTATTAAAGCTGTTAAAGGTGTAAAAGATAACAAAAGAAAAAAAATGATGCACGCCAATAAACTTTCCGATCCACACTTTGTCCTTCAAAGTTTAAATCAATAATATGCTTTTGGCAAGTAGTTTTCACACAACGATAACAATTAATATTATCTGTATATTAATTGTTATACAGAGAGGGAGGAGAGAGGTGAGGGAGAGAGAGTAGAGAGTGGAGAGAGGTAAATCGTATTTGTATATCTGTCAGATATGTAACTGATATACATATGTATTTGTATATATATCTGGCGAGCGATATTGGGAGAGGAGGAGAGAGACGAGCAAGATTTGGAGAGAGGCGAGCGACAGAGGGAAAAAAGTGGAGAGAGACGAATTATATTTGTATATCTATCTGTCATATAATTGTATATGTATATGTATAATTTGTATTTGTATATGTATAAGAGAGGAGCGAAGCTAATTATATTTGTATATCTGCCATATAATTGTATATGTATACGTATAACTTGTATTTGTAAATGTATAAGAGAGGAGAGAGGTGAGAGAGAGGAAGAGAGGAGAGAGGCGCACACAATTATAGCTAAAAAGAGGCCGTGAGTGGTAATTAATTCAAACTCCAGTTATGTTAGCTAATTAACTAGTATATGCTTGCTTATCCACGTAATCTCCCCCCCCCCCCCCCCTTTTTTTTTTTTAAAGAAAAAGATACTTGTTGAATTTTGAATCCATAATTTTAAATATATAATGAATTTAATCATATGAATTATAAAATTAAACTTTCAAATTAAAATTTTAACTTCCCCTCTAATATTGCTTTTGTTACAAACATCCACGTATGCGTGATCGTCATCTCTAATCTCTTTGAGACATTTGAGTTGCCTAATTACAAGAATATGATTATTTTAGTCAAAAAATGAATTATGGTCTATGGAACGACTAAAATTTTAAAAAAAGCACATAATTAAAAAAAAGAAAAGTTAACACGCATATAGAAAAGATCTAAATTTGTGATACTTGTCTTTAAGGTGGAAACACTGCTTATCATCCTACTAAGATTTTAAAAAAAAAATTATGACTCGAACTCGAAATATATTTAAGAATCAATGAATTATATTCGTTTTAACACGGTTAAATATATAAAATTATGATAAAGTAATAAATATTCTTTTATCTTTAACTAGAAGTGTTAGAGTTTAAATTTTTAATATGAAATCACATTTATTATTTACCCTCAAATATGAAATTTGTCGGTGCGCAGTATAGATATCAAACATCATTAAAAAAAAAAAAAAAACTCTAAGTTGCACCTTATAATGACAAACAGTCAAACATATGTAGTGGTGATCGTAGGGACGCTTCCTAAATTATTA